TGTGCACTCCCTTATATACTCGAGGCTCACGTGACCTACTACGTCACGCCGCCCCCGCAACGCCCTACTGCTTGCTATGAGGTTTGGGTGTCCGTTCCGTAAGACCGAAGGATCCCTAAGCCTCGAGTCTCCCTTTGCCGCGTGCTGGCTTTTAGGAAAAACCCTTCTCTCCCTCCTGTGGTGAGGCGATTTCCTGTTACTAATCCCTTACCACGCGTCCTCAAATAACTACCACGAGATTCGCTTGCTAGTACGTGAGATTCTTTAACTGGTCAATACTGATATATCACAAGTTTGGTTTTTATATTCTATAATGCTTAAACTTGCATATTATTGCTGTTTACTCTCATCTACCGAGTTCGTGATAAAGAGGATGGCTAAGTATCCAGCAGTGAACCATTACTTTTCGAGACAAGAGCTTTCCTTTCCTTTATATAAATATTCTTAGTCCTCCCCCCTCTGCCTAATTCCAGCAGCAAGCACCTAATGGGGGTCGCGGACAAATGGTGTGGGCTTTATTACCTGTTTTCGAACATTTTTTGTTGCAAAACTTTAGATACTGTCGGCAAAATACTAACTGAGCAATAATTTCAAGACACTGACGTTAGTTTAGAGTTTGGTAGGTGTCGAACATGTGTAATCTCACTCACTGCAGTAAAGGTTTCCGTTGTAATAAAATTAATTAGATGCGTAAGTGCCCGAAGGGCAAATGGTAAAATAAATTTAATTTGTTAGTCTGTGATATCATAGGAGTCATTAGCATTTGATTTTAGTGAAAGAACACGCTTATTAAGTTCGTGATGATCAACGTTATGGAAATAAAATTTATTCCTGACAGTAGGTGATTTGGTTGCCAGTGTCGGTAACGAATTACTTTTGTCACAATGTGATATTGGTTTAGAAACATTTACAAAGTAGTCGTTAAACTCATTCAAGAACATATCGACAGGAATTTCAGAAGAATTTACTTTCGTGATCCCAAAGTCTCTGTTTGTTCCAAACGTCTTTTGTGTTCGTATTTACTTTAGTGTTTTCATACCAGCTTGATATTGGGGGGGGGATGGGATGTGGTTTTCAATAATACTCATTTTAAATTTAACAAACATTTTCAATATCTAAAGTGATGGGCATGCATGATAGATGATATTACATGCAATTTATTACAAACTTGAAACATGCGACCTTTCTTTTAATTTTGATAATTGACTCGACACAAACTCAATAAACTGATTAGGCCGCCACAAATGCTGTTGCTGATGGCATCTTTCTCTCAGCTTCTCTCAATCCTACCGCATTTTAGCGGAAGTAGAGCTGGTGATTACCATTTTTGTTGTTGTTGTTGTCGTGGCAGTAGAACACCCGCCTGGTTGTATTCTTGACCCAGGGGTAGGGGCGGGTCGCCCCGGACAGCTGCGGCCAAGATCACGGCCGCGCTCCAGCGTCACCGCGCTCGTCTCCCTTGCTCAGGCCGGACCCAGGGATGGAAGCCCTGACCGTCAGGCACCCACGATTCGCGTCGGTGATGATTGAATGGAATTCATCTAATTCCCGAATGAAGTGATCGCGGAGGGTTCACTACCGTAGTGCGGGCTAAGCCAGCCTACGGCACGTAACTGAGTGCAACTGCGCACGGTGACTGGCATTGACACGCGAGTGCAGTTCACGGCCCACGAAAATAATTTCCAAGTGCCAGAAACTATGTCTCTCTTCGCAAAATCTCGAAAGAGAATCTTTTTTGGAACTGAACCTCTCTTCGCGGATTCTCGAAATTTCGTAACGTAATTTTAGCGGAGCGTGACGGGGCGAAGCTTCGACCAATGACTCGACGATCCACGTAACAGACGAAATTTTTCCGTTGTTTGGCGCTGCGGGCGCAGTCCCTCCATGGTCGGCGAAAATGTCGTTGTGACCTAGATCGTCGGGGTTGCACATGCGCGTCGAAATTCGTTAGGTCGTAAACCTTTCCTTCAAGTGGATGTTATTGCAGGCGATCCACTTAACGCGCAGTCGCGTGGAGGGAAGATCGCCCGTCCTCGGAGCTCGGTGGGGGCGCTCGGTTGCCGACAAAGCGACGGCGGCGCGGCAGGCCATAAACGACCCAAGTCTCTCAATAACAGAGATGAGCTGTGCGTGGTCAGGTACCTGTTTGTCAACGGCCGCTAGCCGTGCTAGATGATCGCGATCTCATCGATAAGCACTCGATGTCAAATTCACGGCAGGTCGTACCGTTACATTTCAGATGTCATGATAATATCGAATTTTCCCGTTTGTAATTTTTTGTTTTACGGAATTTCGTAAATTCTTGTAATTGTTTTTCAGAGGTTTTATTGGACTTGAAACGACAGTAAGCTGAGTCCCGTTCCTGCATGAATTGCTTTAATTCACATGTAAGGCACCGGGCCGCGGGACGTGTCACATGTTGCGATTTCCATGGTGCATATTTATCGAAATGATCTGTCACAATTTCGTTGAAGAAACGTCACAACTCCAATTTCTTTTCCACTGCTTCAAAAACGACCTGTGCAATTTTGTTTATGAAAACATACGGAGTCAGGATGCTTGCAATAAGCGTAGCAAAGACGGCGTCATTAGCTTTGGCGTTGCGTGTGGCAATGTTATTGAAAAATTAGAAGTAAAAACTAACTTATTAAACACAAGAAATTACATTTTGGAAAAACTAAGACATACTAAAAATATTAGTAATATATTAATAATATAGTGGTTATACTTAGCTTATACCAAACATACACTGGCATTGTGTGCTGCGCTCTTGACTTACGATCCTACTGCTGAACAAAACTCCCTGCTGCGTCGCTCACTGAAAACTACCTGCGGTGATCCTCAGAGCGCTTGGTAAATACGACTGAGGTCTGGGACCATGGCACGACTGAGGTCTGGGACCATGGCACGACTGAGGTCTGGGACCATGGCACGACTGAGCTCATTATTAAAGTTCTCACCGGGGTTTCAACATGTAAATTTCAATATCAAAATTCAGCAACTACTTCGGCTTGCAACACATTTCAAAAATGTTACCGCCATTCACTAAAACTTATAACTTTCTACAGATTGACGGTCCAGATCGCAATGGCGAATTATCTAATGTATTTGACCAAACAGATTAGTTTCAAACGTAATACAAAATATCGTCATTCTCGTCACTAGCCACAATACGCATTAGAATGCCCGACTCACATCGCCGCGACTCGACAAAGGACCATCGATCATGTAGGAAGTAAACTTATTTCCTTAAACAATAAAGTGAACTACCTCCTTTCTTCTAAATACTAACACCTCATTTTAAAATTCTCGTTTAACATTTAATATGTGGGTGATAAATGTGTATGTAATATGCACATATAATATGATTGATGTGTGATAGTTAATGCAAAGATATGTTCTCCCTTTCGAACGCAGAGTGCGTAGTTTCTATACATTGTGAACACCATTTTGTTTCATTTGAACTATTTAAATGAAAAAAATGCTTATTTTTTAGTGTCGGATTCACTGCGTACTGGAAGCTACGGGATCGGTAAGTATAAGATCACAATTAATTTCATTTCATAAATTACTATATCACGTAAACTGCAAAAAAATATACTAAGGTGCAATAAAATATCTGATAAAACGAAATAAAATGTGTTACAAGCAATATACCAGCATCTAAATAACAAACACGTTCGAAATGTGAGTTTATACCAAAAACACGAGAAAGTATTTAATGACGTTCCTAATGCACATTCTCGTAACGGTTTCGTTTAATTGAAGAACGATGTTCCAGTCCAACTAATACGTCATCAATCCTTAGAAAACCTGCCAAAAAAGCTTCAAAAAAATTATATTTCAAAAATAATAAGTATATTATTATATTTAATTAAAAACGTCCAAAAATATATTTTGTGTTTAAAATTAATTGCATTATGGTTTATTATAAAAAACTTTGTAAATGAAAACTTGCTTCACTTCTGCTCTAAATATTTCATCATTCTGATGGAGATGTAGTAACGGTAAAAAATAACATGGAACAGAAATTACACAGAATGTAACTGTTTTATCAGTGTTCGTATGTGTGTGTGTGATTAAGGATCAATTTTTATTTGCATAGATGACTGGGAATAAAATTAATCATGAACATCACATGATGCATCTCGGAGTAACATCAATTGACTGGAAGAAGGCTGGTTTGGAAAAAGCTGCTGAGAAGTGTAAAATTGAAGCACGTAAGTTTCGTTACGTGCGATGACTCCCACCCGTCACCACGAGGTAGCGTCGCACACGTTCTGTGCTCGATATCGCAATGGATTGTAGGCTGTACGCGCTCAAATTGTATTTATTGTTGCCAAGCGTATAGGAACCAGAACCTCCGGCGAAGAGAATCTCAGAGGTAAGCTGCTCTGGGTTGAAGGGATGCAAAAACTTAGTGTGCCCTCGCCATTCATAAAATGGTTTGATACGAATTCGCGTCTCCTAAACTGAGATATTAAGACAAGAAGTTGGTCGTTCAATGAGGTAATCTATAATAGAATGAATTTTCATTGTTGGATGACAAGTGTATTTTTTGTATTCCAGCATTATAAAATAACCTTTTCTGTTGCAAGAAATTGTTCATAATCGGGCATTTTACAGCACAAATGATGACGTATTAGATTTTATGTCACTAATGATTGCGTCATCCAATCAGCCATTCAGCAAATCGTAGTGAGAGAATCGGGGGAAGGTAGAGCTAAACGGAACAGCCGACCTTTTTCTCGCACGATGTCAGATACCCGAGTCGTCACAGGGAAGTTGTTTCGCAAAATTAAGTCGCTCGTTTTCAAAACATGTACTAATGCAATAAATCCTTGTACGTTATAAACTAATTGCATAAACTACTATTAAGAATTCATTTATTGAAAATATTCATTCATTATTTTCACAGAAAATATTTTGTACAAGTCTATTAAACGTTGGCTATTGACGTTATTAAAATATCTCTTCCGTATATCCCTACGATGGTTCTTGTTTGATAGTTGCCGACCTGTCATCACGGAGACACAGTCGTACAGTATAGTGACTTCTGTGTTTAGAGATCCAGTTCCACATTCTTGTACTCAGACGACGAGCAGTTTACGGAGAGGTCAAGAGATTAGGATACGATTAATACATTAGTTATGGTGTATCGGAGGTTAAGAAGGAAGTACGGTCTTTTATGGTGGCAGCGATGCTAAACGTGGCGCTTTTTATGCTGCACTAGATGAATCGAAAGTTACACGCTCGATGGCGACGATGAATCCCGCAATGGGACTGAACGCTGGTTTAGCGATAAAGTAATTTATCTCAAACCTTTCTAATTTTATGAAATCGATTTTCCTCCCTTTCTTCAAATCTAAAACTACTTCTTTGAGAATCCAATACAGAGGAAACGTTTTTTTTAAACTTCTCACATCCTTTGTGCTTTGATGTGTCATACGAAATCAGGAAGAAATATTGTTGAATACACAATTCCACCACATTTTCAATAAAATATCCTAAATTGAAGTCAACCATGTAAAGTCCCAAAGAGGCTAAAACTCGTATTTCCTATTTTACAGTGGATAAATAATGTTTTGATTTCCGAACAAATACTTAAAATTCTTTTGACAAAATATGGCGGTCCCACGGGAACAAACTGATTTGATTAACGGAAAACCGAGCGACCTCGCGCCAGGTGAGCGGACAAGAATATGCCGGTAGGCGTTTACTATGAATACTGTTCGAAAATATTATTTAAATTAAATAGTTATAAGCATTAATAACAATTTGGAGCACTTTGCCACCCTTGCGCTTTACGGTTAGTGGGTCATACATTGTAAATTAAGTTTGCAAAGAAAATGACTTTTTTTTAAAACGTAAATTGATACATTTACCGCAACCTAAAAAACCAAATTGAAGAAAAGTAAACAAAATTACTTTTAACTTCCTCGCGATTAAAATCATAAATCTCAAAAACAAAATGCAACTATACATAGGCGAACAAACACATGTTATATTAACGAGGATGGAAAACTGTTTTGAAATCTTATATTCATTTACCGGAAAAGCCCATAAAGTCCTGTACATCCATCTTAGCCTCGGTCGCGTTATAGGTTTACACGATGTTGTAAATACAATTGAAGGACACACGATGTCAACCGATTCTGTTGTGAGAAGAGACATTTGCCTCGCAAGCAAGATCTTCCCTTGCGGAAATAGAAAAGAGATAAGAATGATTTCAAAAGTGCAAAGACATTGAAGAGAATGCTTATAATTCAATCTGCATTAGTTTTTTCAGTAGATAATTCCTGTGAACACGAATTAATTTTTGTTTATTTGCAAAGAACTTTTGATCACCGCAAAATAAATTCTCTTTCAAAACGGACAGTCACGAGGTGGGTAAAATAGTAAAAGTAAAATGCCCTAAATGAAACAAATATGATGATGGCATTTACATGATAAAACACGTTTCTAATGTACAAATGGGCATTTTATGGATTAAAAACACTATCTAAAACCACATTAAAAGATATAAGGTCGAAGAAAATAATTTCTATGGTATGACGTTTTTGGTGCCTCCGCAACCGTCTCGAATTTGTTCTACTTTGGTTCTGGAAAATTACCCTTCAATTACTTCTGTGTATACAAAAGACAAAAAACGGAATATGAATGGGTGAAAACCAGAACGTTATGACATTTTATAAATTCTGAGAAAACGTGTTTTTTGGCTATATTTCAGTGGGATTGAATTTTAGTGGTTATAATAAAAAAAAATTGATATGCAGTGGTTGTAATGATGAAACAAAGCACTACGACTTTATAGTAACATTGACTTATACAGGTTTCTCTAAATTTATAAAATGTCGCTTATACCGAACTGCGTTTCACTCATTCATCTTATGAATTGACGGATTTGGAGTGCATAATACGAGAGCCCTGTATTGCGTAACTACAACATCGCACTAGGAATTAGGCCGCCACATTCTCAGCTCACATCATGCCGCCAGAATTTTTGGAGCGCACTCGCTGTTTGTAGATTTGCAGATGAGATGTTTTTGGCATTATTCTTGCAATAGAAACAGACATAATAGAAATCACCTTTGTGCCTTTCGATTTATCAAGAGGACGGGCTTTCGAAGGCTTGTTCACCGGCTCGGGGCCAAAATTGATATCAATTCAAAGCCTCTGTCCGAGTCGTCCCAGGGTTCGAGTCTCGACCGTGGCAGGATTTTTGACACTGCCTTCATTGCTATGTTGAATTGATCTGTTGTGTAGAGGGTAATTCTACTCTGATCGATACTCGGAGGATTGTCTACTCAACGAGGAGTTCAGAGGATTGTCAAGGTCAAATCCAGGCAAATGGCAGAGCAGTAGCCTAACAAACGCACCACGAACCACGCGCCATCTCCGCCCCCCTTCCTTGCCCTATCACTTCTTTCTCACAAACACGTACACACTTGTTGGGAGACCCGTCGAGAAGATAGAGCTTGTCCCAGGTGAGTCGATGTTCCACTGCTGGGAGTTGGGCATTCCCGTACCTGGTTAGGGAAAATCCCGCCAGCTCTCGTGAAGGTCGGCGACGGATATCCAGCGCGAGAAAATCAACGCCGATACCCGCGTTGAAAGCAAGCACTACTATTACGTCACTTAATGAAATTAGCAGTTGACGCACTAATTAATAAATCAATCGCTTTATCATCACTACGTCTCGACCTCCATTTACAAATAGAATGACGATGAAGGCAAAGCCTCCAAAGCCGTTTCTTTTAATAAACGTATATTTACAAAGATGATTACCATTATTCTATCTGCTAATCACTGCTAAGTGCGACATAAAGGTTTTGATGAATTTGGGATGTAATGATTTGATGAACATGAAAGTAAATAATATATTTATTACAAATAAAATAAGAAACACGGAGTGTTTTTTTACCGTACAAAATAATTATTCCGTATTTAGCACTTATATTGGCTCCCATCAATTGAATCGTTTATTTCAGAAACCCGTCAAACTCCAAATTCCCAATTTTTCAGATATCAAAATATTTTTGTATTAAAGGAGTTGATAAATTAAAATTTTTCATATAAATATGCACTAAACTACGTCTTGGAACAATAATTCGTCGCTAAAGCGTGTTTTAGGTTTTGGCGTTTCACAGGTTTCTGAAATAAAAGATTCAATTATCTCAGCTAATTCGTCTATTTCCATTCACTTAATCAACCTCTTGTTCTTTTGCAGAGACATTGGACAAATGTGAAACAGCTTTCAAGTATCATGACTGTCTTAGGTTTATCGTTTGGGAGGTAAGGGTATTTATAAAAATTGCCAAAAATAATATTCACATAATTTTGCTTTCGTACTTCTTAATTTCCCGCTTCTTCTCACGTAGCATAGAAAAAAGTTTTGTAATTCTGTGGGAAAAACGGCGAATTTTTGACAGAAAAACTCTAATTGCCGGCCCTTGGTAATGAAAAGTGGATAAATCCTCTCACCGTAGCATTATTTCCTCTAACACGCTGTGTAGTGAGAGTCCATGTTTTGTGGATATTTGATACCGAAAAATCGATCGACATCAAAAAGACAGCCCGTCAATCCCTCTCTAGTCAACGCTAACAGTTCAGCCGATTTTCTTCAAAACTCATTTTTTTCAATTGATCTAATATATGTCGCGTCCTTTGAATTTGAAACTAATATTTTAATTTTGGGAGGAAACTTTACATGAAGCCATAGTGACATTTACAAAATTAAAAAAAAAAAAAGTTCCATATTTGTTGGTAAATTCATCATTTTTCGAAATATGAATTTTTTTCGTCTTTCTACAACCAAAGTATTGAAGATGGAGATATTTTTCTTAATGAAATCAGTTCTTCAAAGATTTATTTTGAAATATCGTCATATACAATTTATAAATTGTTAGACTTTTCTTGTACTTCAGCGTGAAATATAGGCTCTTTTTAATTTTCTTTAAGCAAGTTTTTTCTCAAAAACAGCAGCAATTGTTTTGATTAAATTCTTGCATCCATTGGATCCAAATTATACGTATTATGTTAAATGATGCGATTAACATCAACAGATACTTACAAATACTACATCAATTTTTTAAGACGTTACCAATGAAAAAATATTTTAATTATTTTTGCCAATCGTATTGTTTACTGCATGATGCTCTGAATTTGCAATCTTTGCACAGAAATTCCTTAATTTATCTAGTGTTATTCTTCCCACCAC